AGAGGAGGAAGAGAATGAGGAAGAGGAGGAGGCTCAGGAGGAGCTCTTGGGTCTTTCGGTGGTTTGAACGGAAAATGGCCTCGCTGCGCCACTGGATACGACAACGACGACGACGAAGAAGGCGACGACAAAGAGAAGGGAAAATGAGAGGGGGAGACCACTGTGTTGGGATCTCGTGGTGCGCCTCTCGGGGCCCCCTGGGAGGTAGTTTTGAAGCGTCTTGGGGGTGTTTTGGGGTTCTTGGGATCTTTGTGGGGCCTCTTGGGGGCCTCTTGGGGGCTCCTTGGGGCCTCTTGGGAGCCTCTTGGGGCCTCATGGGGCTCTCTCCGGGCCACTTGGGGCCCTCTCGCGGCGGAAAATTTAGTTTTTGAATTTTTGGGCGCCCTCTTGGGTCTCTCTTGGGGCCGTCTTGGTGCTCTCTTGGGCCGTCTTGGGCGCCGCTTGGGCGGTCTCGGAGCCCTCCTGGACCGTGTTGGGGCCTTCTTGGGGGCCTCTTGGGCAGTATTGGGGCGATCTAGGGAGCCTCTTGGGCCATTGTGGAGCGTCGGGAAGCGGGAAAAGCGAGAAGGCCAAAAACATCGAAAAACACAAAGGAAAATCAACAATTGTAGCCTCTCGGGGCTCTCTTGGGAGGCCTCTTGGGGGTTTCTGGGGGCGTCTTGGACGCGTCTTGGGCAGTCTTGGGCCCAGATTGGGCGTCTTGGGCCGATCTTTGGGTGTCTCGGGGCCCTCTTTGGCCGTCGTGGGGGCTTTTTTTTTCGCGTCGCACTCGCAGGACAGACACGAAGCACTCTGCAGGAGCGCCCCAAAGGCTCGGGGAGGCCGAAATTCGTTTGGGGGGGGGGGCACCGTGTGCCGCTTTTCCGGGGTCCCCGGCCCTGTAAAAATATATAAAGAGGAATATAGATATATAAGCATATCTCTCCTTACCTCCTCTCTTTCTCTCTCTCTCTCTCTCTCTCTCTCTCTCTCTGTCTCTCTCTCTCTCTCTCTCTCTTTCTCTCTTTCTCTTTTCGTCGCTCTCTCCCTCCCTCTCTTTTCTCTATCTATACTTACATATATATAGATATAGATATAGATATCTTTTCTACTGTCTCTCCTTCTCTCTGTCTCTGTCTGTCTCTGTCTGTCTCTGTCTGTCTCTGTCTGTCTCTGTCTGTCTCTGTCTGTCTCTGTCTCTCTCTCTCTCTCTGTTTGTTTCTCTCTCTCTCTCTCTCTCTCTATCCTCTCCCTCTCTCTCCTAGACACCCAACACCATCCCTGTGAAAACACAAGGTCTTGCATGTCAGGGGTGTGGACACCCTGTGTTTTCATTTGCATGTTTGGGACTTCTGAAATGAAAAGTTCGGGAACCATGTGGTTACATTGGGATGCTTGGGATTTTGTTGGTTTCCCCCCCGCCAGCGAAAATCAAGCCCAGGAGCCCTCACAGGAACTCCGAACCCCAGAATGCCACAATTCCCCCAAATTTCAATTGAAAACACATGGTTTCCTCACTTCTCATCCCAAAAATCCAAAAAAACAAAATGAAAACACCAGACGTGCGATGCAGGGGTGCGGAAATCCGGTTTTTCATTGTAATATTGTGGATTTGTGGAAGGAGAAATTCGGGAACCATGTGCTTTCATTGGGATGTTTGGGGTTTTTATTTCCCTCCCTCCAGCGAAAATCAAACCCAGGGCCCCCGGGTTTGATTTTCGCTGGAGACACGAAAACCAAAAAAGACTAACAGCAAACCAAATCAAAACACATGGCGTCCGAACTTCTCATCCCAGAAATCCCAAACATCCAAAATGGAAACACAGGGTGTCCACACCCTGGCATCGCAAACCTTGTGTTTTCGCAGGGCTTGTGTTGGGTGTCTGGGGAGGGAGAGAGAGAGAGAGAGAGAGAGAGAGATGCAGATTCCATATCCAGCTGATTCGAATGATGTTTCCAATTGGAATGTCGTTAAAAAGTAATTGGAATTGGGCACCTCCCAGATCCAGCTAAGTCAATTTGGGATTCTCTTTGGAATCGAATTAGAATCGAACTGGAATTGAGCAGATCACAGGTCCAGCGGATTCCGAATAGAGTAGTCTTGACATCAAATTAATATCGAATGAGAACTGGGCACATCCCAGGTCCAGCTGATTCCAATGTGAGCCTTAATGTGAAGTAGATCCCAGATTACAGCTGGTCGAATTGATGCCTATTAAAATCCCAGCTGATTCCAATCGGGTCCCTTGTGGAATCAATTTAGGAGAATATGCTTGGAGTTGAGCTGACTCCAATTTGATTCCTATTGAAATCGAATTAGAATCTAGCTGGAATTGCGCAGGTCCCAGCTGCAGCGGATTCCAATTATATTCCAGCACGAGAAAGCAATGGAGAGCGGACGAATCGGGAAGATAGATGGGAAGGCACGGATGAAAACAAGACGGATGATTGCTAAGAGTACGAATGAAGAGCTCAAAGACCGATGCAAAATTAATGGGTGCTGGAGAGGGGCTGCGCATGTGTAGATATACAGATACAAGCATTAATAGAATAATAGTTTGAATACATGCATAAACATATGTACTACTGTATAAAACGTGTCATGAACAAAATATGCAGGGGTGGGGAGGGGGATGGCAAAGCAGGAAGGGCAAATGCAAGGGAAAAAGGAACGGAAACTGAAACAGGAACGATAATCGGAACGGTAACGCAAATAAGACAGGGAGAACGAAAAAGAACGGGAATGCAAACGTGTGAACTGGAAGCGGAACGTAAACTGAAACAGGAGCAGGACTGGGAACGGGAGCTGAGACGAAATGCGAACAGGAAGGGGAATGGCGCCAGAAATCAAGGGAAGGCAAGAACGTGAGACGAAAAACGCATAGAAATAATACGAGACATGAGCAAAACAAAAGACATGGCAGGAGGGAAACTGCAGATGGAATAGAAGGAGAGGGAAGAAGAGAATAGGAGTAGAGAGGGACTGGCGGTTCCGCAAACAGAAAAAAGGCTGGGAACACATGGGTGCCCACCTGCAGAAAAAGCGCTCGGAACACACGGGGCCCACGTGCGAAACCGAGCAGCGGGATGCACGCGCAACAACAAGGCTGGGCTGTGCCACCCTGCGGCCCTCGCCTCTCGTCTGCACAGCGGGGCAGAGGAGCGCCACCGTGGGGCCGGCCTGCCGCTGAATGAGAAGCTGCACATGGTGGTCTTGTAGAACTTGTCCGTCGCCCTCAGCTCCTCCGGCGGCAGACGAAGGCAGGAGGGGCACGAGGGCGTCGAAAGCGCGACCCACGTCATCGGTGCGCAGGACGTCCACGCGTCCAAAAGGATCGGCGGCACTTTTGCGCGCGCCAAGAGCACCAACAACAGCCGCAACAGCAACTGCAGTCACACAGCAGCAGCAGCAGCAGCGGAGCAACGCGGGCAAAAAAAAAAACCGACGCAGCTCTGCGACCATCACGAACCACCCTGCCGAAGAAGACGTGCCGTCGCGCCCCCAGGCGTGTTCGTAGGCTGGGCCGCCTGTTTCGCCTGACATTTGCTCACAGCTAATGATCCTGAAGCTTGGATCCTTTCCTGACATGAACGGGAAGCGTGCGGAAGGGAAGAGTTGCTCAAGAACTTGCAGCATCATCTCGATCAAATGTGATATAGGCGGCGAGCTCTCCGAACGCTCACAAGGGACACGTATGGACACGCGCCCCCCGAACGTTCACAAGCATTGTCCTGATTATCCTCCGCATTCCTCCGCAAACAACGTCCTTCGCGCGACTCTTCGAATCTAAGCGCGCTTTCCGTCATCCGCTGGCACCTTGGGGCCTGCTCGGCGTGTGAGACCAGTGCCCTTCCCCAAACCACTCCCTGGGGAGCCTGGTCCGGCCGGTCTGGAGGGCGGGGTCGTGTGGCCAAAAGGGCTGGCCGGGTTGGAGGCCTTATCCATCCAAGAGAAGCTTCCGGACGGCCCCTGATGGCATCGAAATGGGCGCCAGAGGCTCCAAAACGCCCCAACATGGCCTCCACGTGACCCCGGACGGCTCCAAGACGACCCAAGATGGCCTCAAGACAGCCCTAGAAGCTTCCAAGACGCTCCCAAAGGCCTCCAAGAGGACCCCCAGAGAGCCCCAACAAGCAAACATCGTCCCATTCCCTCCGGAAAACTTAGATTTTCAGCACATTCACCTTGTAGGCTCTCACCACGTCCAAGACGGCCTCCGAGGCCTCCCAGATCTGCTTTTCGGGTTTTCAGCACGGCCTCCGAAGCCTTCTCGATCGCCCCAAGACAGCCCAAGACACCCCCAAGAGGGCCCCCAGACGGCTCCACACGGCCCCGTGACGGCCCAAGAAGCCTCCTAGACAGCCATAGCGGGCCCCAGGAACCCCAGGAACGGCCCAAGACAGCCCAAGATGACCCCAAGATGGCCCCAGAGGGGCCCAAGACAGCCCACGACAGCCCAAAATGAGTGTCTGACGACATGGGAGGGCGCCGAAAAAGCCCTTAGAATCCACAAAGAGCGCCTGGAAGGCCCCCAAACGGCCCCGAGAAAGCTTCAAGCGGCCCTCGATGTCTGCTCTCTGGGCGGCGTCGACGTCGGACCGACGATGGCGCGCGTCAACAACTCCGCCACTGCGCCCCCCGGCACGTTGAGCGTGGTAGGACGCCGCGTGCTATCTGGAATGAGTACTGCAAATCACCCCCGCTCCTCCTCCTCCTCCTCCTCCTCCTCCTCCTCCTCCTCCTCCTCCTCCTCCTCCTCCTCCTCCTCCTCCTCCTCCCTCCTCCTCCTCCTGCTGGTCCTCTTCATCTTCCTCCTCCTCCTCCTCCTCCTCCTCATCATCATCATCATCATCAGCATCATCATCATCATCATCATCATCATCATCATCAGCATCAGCATCAGCATCAGCATCATCATCATCATCATCATCATCATCATCATCATCATCATCACATCATGATCACATCATCCTCATCATCAGCATCATCATCACAATCGTCATCATCACCATTACCATCATCACCACCATCATCATCGTCTTCCTCCTCCTCATCCTGCTCCTCCTCCTCCTCCTCTTCCTCCTCCTCCTCTTTCTCCCCCTTTGCCCTCCTCCATCTCAGCCTCCCCCCTCTCCATCATCTTCCCTCCCCCTCAATCGTACTCCCTCCTGCGATTTCTCCCAACCAACATCCTTTCTATCCCAACCTTTCTGGAGCTTCTGAAGCTCTCGTGGCCACCACAAGATGAGGAGGGAAGAACACGTCCCGCAGTTCACCAAACCCCTGGAACCCCTCGGCGTTTCGGAGACCCCCAGAGAGGCCCAAGAAGCGAAAATTCAAAGTTCTCCGAAAAGATGAACGATTCCAGAAGATTCCCATCTTTGGTGTTATCTGCGTGCATGGTGACCCGAGCTGCCCCTAGATCGCTCATGACCGCTCCAAGGGGTCGGCGGATGTAGCGCAAGCCCACAGAAACTGCAGCAGCTTCAAGGATGAAGTCTGACAATTTTCGAAACGGCCTCAGCGACGCACACATGCGTCTTATTTATTTTGCAACAGCTTCAAGGATGGAGGGCGGGCCGTTTTCAAAAGGAGCTGTTGCCTTAGCGCCGCGCAAACTCGCATTTATCGGCGGTGGACAAACCTCCCTTTAGTAGACCTCCCCTTAGTGAAAACTGCCTGGGACCGAAACCGACGGACCTGGACCCGCAAAAATGACGGCCGCGACGCCCTTTCGCGAACCAAAAACGGCCAATTTACTAATCGACGTGTCAGGGCAGGAGGTTTATCAATCTCCGGATTTAATGTGTCAACAGCTTCAAGGTTGGAGACCGGGTCCTCTTCAAAATGTGGCTCTCGCCTCAGCGCCGGGCACCTTCGTAGGGCTGCAGTCCCGGCAATGGTGTTCTGGCTCGGCTTAGAGGTTGTCAGGACGTGGCAGCCACGTGGATACACGGAGTTCATGTCCCAGGAACGGCGTTCTGGCACGATTCAGGATTGTCAAGACGCAATAATCACGTTGGTTCGCAGCGTTTGAAGTCCTGGGAATTGCGTTCTGGCAAGATCTAGGACTCTCAAATACTTTCGGTCCTTGAGGAGCGCCCGAACATCTTCAATTATTATAACGCAATGCTGTTGGCGAATTATATGTTCCTGATCCTGGCGGGGCATCTTCACTTTTTCGCAGTCCGGGGGAGTGAAGCCCGGTCGTTTTTGAATGATTCGGACGGCTGTCTTTCAACTTCCTGCAATGGAAATGAAATCTTGTAGAGACATAGAAAGAAGGAACTAGGAAGAAGGGTGTATTGAAACATCGTTGGTGCTTCTTGGGTTTACACTGGCCCTCCTCCGTCTCCTAGTTCCCCGAACAATGCTTGCACTTAAGGCCCCCTACTCGTTTGCTAAGGAACTGAGCCTGCGGGCCGCTCTGGCCGCCATGTGGCCGCCGTCGCCGCCTCGTCGCCGCCCGACGCCGCCCGCCGCCTGGGCCTGCGGGCCGCTCTGGCCGCCATGTGGCCGCTGTCGCCGTCTCGTCGCCGCCAGCCGCATCGTCGCCGATCGCTTTGCATTGGTTCGCATTAATGTGCGTTGCGCTCCATTGCATTACTGTGCGTTGCTCGACACTTCTGTGCATTTTCATCGTCCTCATCGCCATCCAATTCCTTCAACTCCCCCTCCTCCACCTCGGTGTCCTCCTCCTCCTCCTCCTCCTCCTCCTCCTCCTCCTCCTCCTCCTCCTCCTCCTCCTCCTCCTCCTCCTCCTCATCATCATCATCATCATCATCATACACTTCCCATCTTCCCCTTCGACCCCCTCGCCCATCCTCCCCTACTCCCCAACCCCTCTTCCCGCACCCCAGCCAAATCCCCGACCCCTGCCTCTCGGCTTTTGTGTTGCATGACTATCATCCCCTTCGCCCCCCTCTACCTCGCTCTCTTGTCTCCACCGATCGCACATTCCCCTTCCCACTCTCCTCCCCTTTCCTCCCTCCTACTGTCTCATGCTGTCAGAACGGAACCGACAGCCAGGGTCTCAGAGACCCAGTGGGACAGGGCACATTCACCGGTGAAGGCGGCATGCCCGATGAGATGGATACATCACATTCAGCCTCGCAGCCGCACTGCACTGTGTAGGATATCCAAGCGTAACCCGCCGCTCCATATTGTATACGTGAGACACCGTCGCTGTAGAAGCGGGCATTGCATCCTCTGTGGGCGGCTGCCGGCACTAGGGACATCACGAAATTGGTCTACGGGCCCACCGTGCTCATAACTAACGCTGCTGCTCCCATCCTTCCTCCCCCTCTCCCCTTCCCACCCACCCACCCTTCCACCTTCCCCTTCCAATCGCATCCCGTCCCTCCTCCCCGCCTCCTCCCCTCCCATCTCGCCCTCACCCCCTCCCCCTTCACCCTCCCTCCCTTCATCCTTTCCCCCCCCCACACACCCCTTCCATTCCCCCATGGCTCGCTCACCACCCTCCCCCCTCCTCCAATCTCTCGCCACCCTCAATCCCCCTCTCAAAAGTCACCCTTCCGTGTCTCCGTTTCCGCACAGCTTGCCCCCTCTAGACACTGTCGCCTCCTCCCTTCCCCTCTCGCTTTCTAGTTTTGTCCGACCCTCCGTTCACATGTGGCATCCCCTTCCCATACCATATCTTGTCCTCCCCCATCCCCCCACCCACCCACCCACCCACCCACCCACCCGCACACACACACACACACACACACACCACACCACACCACACCACGCCACACCGCACCGCACCGCACCGCACCGCACCGCACCGCACCACACCACACCACACCACACCACACCACACCGCACCACACACACACACTTTTTCAGTCAGCGGCGCAGAGGGTCCTCAAGCGCGAGCAGCAGATGGAGGTGCGAAATGCGATCGAGCATAGTCGAAAGCGCAGCGAAAGGAGCGTCAAACACTGACGTGCAGAGATGGGTGGTGGGCAGGAGGGACTGCAACCCAGCGAACGTGCAGCGGCCACCAGAATCCGAAGAGCAAGCCAGGGCGAGCTCGACTCATGGTGAACTGAAGCGCAAGCAGTCTGATGCTCACTACCACTGAATCATCGAGCGATCGATGTCAGACTGTGGAGATAAACTGTAAGGCTTCCAGACCAGCCGATTGGTGGGGTGACGCAGGCCTGGTGCAGGAAGAGGCGCGGGTGGACACCACGACAGCGCGGTCCGCGCTGAAAAGGTGGAGTGCGAGCGAGACCGGCGCAGCAGCGCACACCTGACGACCGTCCAGGACGGAGCCAGGGAGGGGGGGAGAAGCAGCGCGGGTGAGCAGCCGACCCGACCAGGGGTCAAGCGCGTGCGATGAGGTGAGGCCGCACGCATGACACCAAACTCAGACTAAGCAAACGCTGCGTGAGAGGTCAGACAGGCAGTTTCAATTGTGCCCCCGTAGCGGCACCGATGAGCGGAGGGTCGACCACCCAACCACCGCCACCACCGCAGACAACACAAAACACACACACACACACACACACACACGCAAACATCTCCAGACCCCCTCCCCGTGCCTTCTCTTCCTCAAGACCCCCTTCCCACCTCCCCATCCAAGTGTCCTCCTGTCACCTTGGCTCGCTCACTCTGTCTTACCTGCCTCCATGACCCCCCACCCACCCCCCTCTTATTCTCCCCCTCATCCATCTCCTCCCGCTCTCTTTATCTCCCCTCGCCCTTCCTTCAAACCCCTTCCTCCTCCCAGCCCCCGATCTCCTCCCATGCATCTCGTCTCCTCCCCTTATCCCCCTCCCGCAATGTCGCCTCATTACCTCCATCTCCTCCTCCTTCCTCCTCCTCCTCCTCCTCCTCCTCTCCTCCTCTCCTCTTCCCTCTCCCCTCCCCCTTCCCTCCCCCCTCCTTCTCCTCATGGTCCTCCTCCTCCTCCTCCTTTTCCTCCTCCTCCTCCTCCTCCTCATCGTCATCATCATGATGATCATCATCATCATCATCATCATCATCATCATCATCATCATCATCATCATCATCATCATCATCATCATCGTCGTCGTCATCATCATCATCATCATCATCATCATCATCATCATCATCGTCATCATAATCCTCATCCTCATCATCATCATCATCATCATCATCCTCATCATCCTCATCATCCTCGTCATCGTCATCATCATCATCCTCCTTCATCATATTCCTCATCATCGTCATACTCAGCATCATCAACAGCAGTATCATCAGCTTCATCAAAATCAGCATCATCATCCTCAGCATCACGATCATCCTCATCCTCATCTTCATCATTATCATCATCATGATTAACAGCAGCATCCGCATCAGCATCATCACCATCATCATCAGCATCATCATCCTTCCTATCTTCCCTCCCTTCCTGCTGCCCCTCTTCCTCATACTCCTCATCATCATCATCATCAGCATCATCATCATCATCATCATGTTCGACAACATCAACATCATTATCATCATCATCATGCGCATGCTCATCATAAACCACGTAAGCAGCGTCATCATAATAATCAGCGTCATCACCATTACCACCACCACCACCACCACCACAACCACCACAGCCACCAATCAGCATCAACATCATCAATCATCAACATCGTCATTATCAGCAGCAGCATCATCATCGTCGCCATCAACATCATCATCACCACCATCATCGTCAGCATCCGCATCATCACAACCACCACGATCATCATCACCATCAGCATAATCAGCAGCATCAGTAGTCAGCATCATTATCAGCATCATTATAAACATCACCAGCACCATCATCATCAGCATCACAAGCATCATCCGCATCATCAACATCGTCGCCGTCACCATCATCATCAGCAGCAGAATCATCATCAGCATCTCACTCATCATCATCATTAGCAGAAGCAACAGCATCAGCATCCTCATCAGCGGCAGCAACCGCAGCAGCAGAATAACCACCAGCATCGTCATCGGAATCCTAAATTGCACCATCAGCAGCGCCACCAGCATCATCATCAGATTCGTCCGGATGACCCATATTAGCAACAGCATTGCCATCGCCACCATCAGCATCTTATATCGTGTCAGCAGAATCAGCATCAGCATCATGATCAGCATCATCGTTTTATTACGATCATGATCATCAGTATCATCCTCATGATCAGCAGCAGCATCATCATCACCACCATCACCATCAGCATCATCAGAATTATCATCATCATCATCATCATCATCATCATCATCATTGTCATTGTCATCGTCATCGTCGTCAGCATCATCACCATCAGCAGCAACATCATCATCAGCAGCATCATCATCGTCATCAGCATCATCATCATCAGCAGCATAATCATCATAATCGTCATCGTCATCATCCTCAGAGGTATCAGCATCATCGTCTTACTCCTCCCCCTCCTCCTGTTCCTCCCCTCCCCATCATCGTCATCATCACCACCACCACCATCATCATCATCATCATCATCATGAGCATCATCATCATCAACAGCAGCAGCATCGTCATCACCGTCATCAGCAGCAGCAAAAACAGCAGAAGCAGCAGCAGCAGCAGCATAGTCATCATTGCGACCAGTGGCAACATATCATCACTTTCCCCCGAGCTCCTCAGAGAACCCCCCACCCCTGAACACACAAAAGCTTACTTGGACGCAGTCGTAGCCCTGAAAATCATAATGATCTCGTCCCATCAGCCCCCAGCCTGCCATGGATCGCAAATTGACCTGGATGTGCAGGGCGATACCAGCCGTGGCGTCAAGGGCCCCGAAGAGAAAAGTTGATCTTCATCCTCCTCATCATCATCGTCATCATAATCCTCACATGATTAGCATCATCATCATCATCAGCATCAGCATCAGCATCAGCATCAGCAGCATCAGCAGCATCATCATCATCATCATCATCATCATCATCATCATCATCAGTATCCTCCCCCTCATTCTCTGCATGTTCCCCATAACTGCTGAAAGCTCGCTCCACGGACTGCGACGCGCTACGGCGAGAACTACAGCTTCTTAAAAACCCCTGCCCTCCGTCCTCGCACGTGTCATGAGCTGTGGAAAAGCCCGGCCTGCCCCGCGGCCACGTCCGGCGCTGCGACGCCATCCTCCTGCCTATGTTCCTCCTCCTCGTCGTCCCCCTCGTCACCAGACTACAGATGCCACGATGCTTCGTGGGGTGGGCCCCCAGAGCTCTCGACACCCTCCACGGACCAAGCTTCCCATCCTGAGGCCCTGGCTCGACGGCCGTGCGGGTCGAGACGGGCCTCCCGAGGCCCCCCGACTGTGGAACGGCATTGCCCCTGCGAGGTTGTTCATGACGCTGGAGGCATTGGGCCCCCCGCCCGTATTCCTCCTCCTCCTCCTCCTCCTCCTCCTCCTCCTCCTCCTCCTCCTCCTCCTCCTCCTCCTCCTCCTCACTCCTCCTCCTCCTCACTCCTCATCCTCATCCTCGTCCTCCTGGTCATCCTCCTCCTGGTCTTCTTGATCCTCCTGCTGCCTGAGCATTACTGCTCTTCTCCTCCTCCCCCTCCTCCTCCACATCCTCCTCCTCCTTCTCCAACTATTCCTCGTTCTCCTCCTTATCCTCCTCCTCCTCCTCCTCCTCCTCCTCCTCCTCCTCCTCCTCCTCCTCCTCCTCCTCCCCCTTCTCTTACTCCACCTCCTCCTCCTCCTCCTCCTCCTCGTTCTGCTGGTCCTTGTCGTCATCCTGGTAATTGTTCTCTCCCGTCCTCATCATCATCAGAGGCATCAGCATCATCAGCAACAGCACCATCAGCAGCATCATCATCACCACCACGTCCATCATCATCATCATCATCATCATCATCATCATCATCATCATCATCATCATCATCGTCATCATCATCATCATCATCATCATCATCATCATCATCAGCATCGTCATCATCATCATCATCAGCAGCAGCAGCATCAGCATCAGCATCATCATCCTCATCCTCATCAGCATCATCATCAGCATCGTCATGATCATCATCATCATCATCATCATCATCATCATCATCATCATCATCATCAGCAGCAGCAGCAGCAGTATCAGCATCACCATCAGCAGCAGCATCAGCAGCGTCATCCTCTTCCAGATGCTCTTCCTCCTCCTCCTTGTTCTGCTGGTCCTTGTCGTCATCCTGGTCATTGTTCTCTCCCGTCAGCATCATCAGCATCATCATCAGCAGCATCATCATCATAATCAGATTTAGCATCACCATCATCATCAGCATCCTCATAATCATCCTCATCAGCATCATCATCCATCATCAGCATCGTCATGATCACCATCATCATCAGCAGCAACAGCATCATCATCACCATCAACATCAGCAGCATCAGCAGCATCATCTCTTCCATATTCTCCTCCTCCTCCTTCTCCTCCTCCTCCTCCTCCTGCTCCTCCTCTTCGTCCTCCTCCTCCTTCGCGCCCTCGCCTTCCCCCCTTGGTACGCATGCTCCTCGGGGCTGTGGGCGAAGGGACACCCGTCGACCGTGCAGCTGCCCTGAGAGCGCACGCGCGCGGGCTGGAGGGAGGAGGAGGAGGAGGCGGAGGAGAAGGAGGAGAAGGAGGAAAGGAGGAGGGAGGATGACCAGGAGGAGGAGAGGAGGAGGACCAGGGGGAGGAGGACCAGGGGGATAAGGAGGAGGAGGAGGAGGAGAGGAGGAGGACCAGGGGTAGGAGGACCTGATGATGATGATGATGATGATGATGATGATGATGATGATGATGATGATGATGATGATGATGATGGTGACGATGACGATGACGATGACGATGACGATGATGATGATGATGATGATGACTATGATGATGACGATGATGATGATGATGATGGCGATGATGATGATGGTGATGATGATGATCATGATGATGATGATGCTGCTGATGATGATGATGCTGTTGATGATGATGCTGATGATGATGACGATGATGATGATGGTGATGGTGATGGTGATGAAAATGATGATGAGATTGAGGATGAGGATGAGGATGAGGATGAAGAGGAGGATGAGGAGGAGAACAAGGAGGCGCAAGAGGGAAGAGGGGGAGGAGTAGGACCAGTGTAAACCCAAAACGCATCAACGATGCTGCAATAAACCAAACGAACCCTCCATCCAAGTTCTCCTATTCACAGGGCCCTACAAGAAATGATTCTCATTGCGGGAAATGCCCCTTTGGAAAACAACCGTCTGAGAATCCTCAGCCGTGACAAAACACTACTCCTGGGATTTCAGCGTTGTAAATCAAAGTGACTGCCGCGCCCTGACAATCCAAAATCGTGCCAGAACGCCATGCCTGGGGCTTCAACACCGCGAGCTAACGCGATTGTTCCGTCCTGGCAACCCTGAATCTTGCCAGAACGCACCAAATTTGTAACTTCGACCATGCGACTCCGTGAATCTGCTGCAACCTTTCAGAACGAATGTCCGCGGCGCTTAGGCGGGAGTCACAGTCAAAAAGAAACTGCCATTCATCCTCGAAACTGCTGCAAACTTTGAAGACGAATGTGCGCGGCGCGAAGGTGAGCCACATTCTAACCACCCGCACTCCATCAAGCACAGCTGTTCTGCGCACGATCCGCTGACGACCTGCCCGACGCCCAGAGCTCCACCCGACAACCCTCTCAACCCAGGAGAGCCCAAAATCAAAACGACAAGTCGGACCGGTGTTCGAAATGAATCGGATCGGCGGAAATGGGTCAACCCCCCTGCACGGCGGGTGCTTTTACTACGCCTACGACCCCGTTCCCGACGACCTCCACGACATGCCAGGGCTCTTCGGCAGCACAGGACGCCTTCCCAGCCTCGGCATACCGGGCCTCGGCCACGCCGACGCGGACGAGCAGGAGGACGCGGAGGAGGACTCCTCCTCATCCTCCTCCTCCTCCTCCAACTCTTCCTCCTCCTCCTCCTCCTCCTCCTCCTCCTCCTCCTCCTCTTCCTCCTCCTCCTCCTCCTCCTCCTCCTCCTCCTCCTCCTCCTCCTCCTCCTCCTCCTCCTCCTCCTCCCCCTCCCCCCCCCTCCCCTCCTCCCACCCTCCTCCTCCCCCTCCTCATGCCTCCTCCTCCTCCTCCTCCTCCACATCCTCCTTCTCGTCCTCCTCCTCCTCCTCTTCCTCCTCCTCCAGGGCGACGACAGTCACGACGGCCATCTTTCAACGGCCGCGACACCGACGAAAACCCAGACCGCGCAAACCGACACAGGCGGCCAGCCAGCCCACGACTACTGCACTTAATCAGCTACCAGGTTCAGCAAGGGATGACGTAGCCACCGAGGGTAGGGAACAGCAACAACGAACCGTCCCGACCGTCCCCAGGGAACTCGGTCAAGTCCGACCACCCTCCCCAGTGCTGGGAGCTGGACCAGTGGCACGGGCCCCACTCTGCAAAGAGGCGCATCAGCACAACACCACCCACCACTCAGCGACGACGGCACCTATTCCAACCTACGCCTGGCGAAGCACTGCGGTACCACCTCGACTACCTCCACATATGGCTCCCGCACCCTCTCCGCCCTGAAGGGACCTCCCTCGACCTGCCATGTACGGCCTGGCCACATGATGGGCAGGGGGCCTTGGGGGGCGGGGGCGGGCATGGACATCACAGAGGGCATGACCTTCTAAACCAAGTACTGCTAGGTTGGGCTTGCCCTCCTACAGGCGGATTTTGGAAGAACCAAGAAAATCCCAAAAATATTCAAACATATTCAAAAATAGTCGAAAAAACGTCGCCTGCCTATTTTATTGTTGAATATTCCCACTGAGGAGGGGCATGCCCGACTTACAACTACAAGCCCTCAGCTCCAATTCCGTGCACTACCTCTGCTTCGTGTACTGCGGAGGCCGGCCGGGGCCGCCTCAGCCTCCACCCCCATACTAACCTTCCCACGGGCAGGATAGCACAGGCAGTGGGAGGAGGAGGAGGAGGAGGAGGAAGAGGAGAAGGAGGAGGACGAGGAGGAGAAGGAGGAGGAGGAGGAGGAGGGGGGGGGAGGAGCAGGAGGAGGAGGAGGAGGAGAAGGAGGAGGAGGAGGAAGAGGAGGAGGAGGAGGAGGAGTAGGAGTAGCACAAGGAGGAGGAGGAGCCCAAGTATTGCAATCTAGGCAGGCACCGCACACTTGCTTTTTGGACGCTTGACTCTAACGTGGTAGGTTTGGGATTGGGGCTTGGGGTTGTGGTGGAGGACTGCAGTAGCGACCAGCTGCGGCCACCTCTCTTTGACTGCTCCAACACAGCAGCACTCTAATTTACCTAAAGGGTAGCAGCCCAAGAATTGAATACTAGGCAGGCACCATTCACCTGCGTTTCGGAAGCCTGACTCTAACGTAGTGGAGGATTGGGGTTGGGTCTTCGACGGAGGATGGGGGTTGTGGTGGAGGACGGCAGCACCAACCATCTTCGCTCACCTCTCTTTGAATGCTCCAGAACGGCAGCACAATGTTTGTTTGACCTTAAAGATAGCAGACCAAGAATTGCATACTAGACAGGCGCCGAATCACGTGCTGCTAACTCTCGGACGCCTGACTATAACGTGGCGGAGATTCGGGGTTACGTTTATGCTGAGAATCGGGGTTGGGGTGGAGGACTGCAGCACCGACCAGCTCTGGTCACCTCTCCCTTTGACTGCTCCAACACAGCAGTACTCTGTTTTACTCAAAGGGTAGCAGCCCAAGAACTGCTTCTCAGGCAGGCACCATTCACTTGCGTTTTGGACGCTTGACTCTAACGTGGTGGAGGTTGGGGTTGGGACTATGTCAGAGGATGGGGATTGTGGTGGAGGAGGGCAACACCGACCAGCTTCGGTCACCTCACTCCTTGATTTCCAGCACAGCAGCACCATGGTTGTTTTCGCCTTAAGGGTAGCAGCCCAAGAATTGCATACTAGACAGGCACCTGTTCACTTGCCAACGTTTGGACGCCTGACTTGAAAGTGGCGGAGATTTGGGGGTGAGTCTATGCTGAAGAGGGAGATTGTGGTGGAGGACTGCAGCACCGACCAGCTTAGGTCACCTCTCTCTTTGACTGCTCTAGCACTGCAGCACATTTGTTGACCTTTAGGGTAGCAGCCCAAGAATTCGAGGCAGGCACCGTTCACTACGCTTGACTCTAACGTGGTGGAGGTTGGGGTTGGGACTATGTCAGAGGATGAGGATTGTGGTGGAGGACGGCAGCAACGACCAACTTCGGTCACCTCTCCTTGATTTCCAGCACAGCAGCACAATGTTGTTTGGGGCCATAAGGGTAGCAGCCAAAGAATTGCATACGTACTAGGCAGGCACCTGTTCACTTGCCAACGTTTCGACGCTTGACTTTAACGTGGTGGGATTGGAGTTGGGTGCATTTATTGGGGAAGCAGCACGTACCAGTGTCACATCAGCACCTAGACTACCCCAACACAAGCGGCACAGTTTGTTTAGGCGCCCAGGCCAAATAACACCCATGGTCAGCTTACATTTGCTCCAGTCCAGCCACCGTGCTTCTGACTACGGGAAATAAGTGACCAAAGTAGACACAGCATGCCTCAATGCCTTTTCAGCAGGCCAGCCAACATCTCTGGCCAACCTACAGTATGATCATAGCACCATCAGCTCCTATTTGCCTGAACCTTGTGAACGGAAGCAGTTTGCACCTATTCCTGTTGATGATTCGTTTCCAAATTTAGGTATTTCTGTGTCATACTAAGGTACGTTCTGCTTCCTGTACATGGCGGGCGCCTACTCAATGTTCTACAATGTGCCACCTTCTATCCTTCAGGCTTGATCCTTAAGTCGGGCGAACGTAAAAAAGGAGGAGGAGGTGGAGGAGGGCTCCCCCTTTGTCCCCTTAGGAAGGCCTCTAACTCACTCCCGCTGTCCTGCCCCGCGGGTCCCCCGGCCGCCCTCTCCCCTCCCTCACCGACGCGTCTCCCTTTCCCTCGTCTTCCTCCTGCGCTCATGCACGCGTGGCCGCTCGGCCCCCTACTCGCCAGCTTTCCGGTCCCCGCTCGTGTCGTTCCCTCCTCGTGCCGTTCACGGGCACCACCAGCGGCCGCGAGCGGCCCACGCTTGCGCCACCCCGGCCCGCCCACGTCTGCGGGGCGCGGGGGGTCGAGGGCACCGGGCTCGGACGAGCCAGAACGGTCCGCAGCTGGTAGCCAGTAGTCGGACCAGTGTAAGCCCAAGGCGCACTAACGATGTTGCAATAAACCGTTGTAAACCCTCCATCCAAGGTCCGTCCTCACAGTGCCCTGGAAGAGATGGTTCCCATTGCAGGAAGCCCACTGGAAGACAGTCGTCTGAGAATCCACATCAAACATGCCACAACACAGTTCCTGTCAAGAAAACGCCCGGCCCGCCCTCCGACACGCCTGGGGGTGCGACAGGGAGGAGTTCTGTGTAAGGGAAGCAGATGATGGAGGGGGAGGAGGAGGAGGAGGAGGAGGAGGAGGAGGAGGAGGAGGAGGAGGAGGAGGAGGAGGAGGAGCAGGAGGAGGAGGAGGAGGAGGAGGATGCTTGGGAGAGGGAA